GTTTCGATACCCGGTGTGGGCAGAGCACAGATAGCCCATTGTGTAGCTTTGTGCTTGATTACAAACAAACAGACTTGTATAAAATAAATAATATCTGTGTCAGTAATCTACGTGCATGGTCACATATAAGTTTCTGTGTTATCAGAGTGTTTTCCCAAGAGATGTCTATTTGTTCTACTCTACACAGGCAGATGATGGTGATTATTGTACTACTGACATATGCAAAGAACAGTCATCCCACGTGCTTTAGTTGTGGAGGCTTCCATGTTTGTCAGTGCTCGTAAAAAAATATAGAAACAAACAGCACAAAAGATTACTATTAATACTAACTGAACAGAAATATAAGATAATAAATGTATAATCTTACAAGTTTCTGCAAATAACAGTTAATTAGCCATACTTATGGCCAGGATGATTTTTTTAGTTTCGCTCTATGTATGTTGGTTATTGTTGTCATACGTATTAGAAACTTTGTCCTATGACCTTTTGTGATATTTATGTTCTTAACCTGAGGTTCTTTACACTTAGTGTGAGACCTGATTTTAGTTTTTCCTTTTACTGAAATTAGGACAGTTTATTTTATAAATCAGTGATTATTTAGACGTTGCGTGAGCCTTGATTTTAAATACATTTCTTCATTTTAAGTTACTTTAATATTCCTCTGTTGATTATTGGTATTAGAACCAAAACGAAACGTCAAGTTAACTTCTCTGACTGATATATTGCGTGACATTACATCACAAACAACCGATCGATAGATCACGCTTTGCCAGCACAAAATATTATAAACCATAATAACTGATACGTCCAGCAAGCTTTATTTTGTCCCAGATGGGCCCGGCATGGTCAGGTGGTTAGGGCGTTCGACTCGCAATCTGAGGGTCGCGAGTTCGAATACCCGTCCCACCAAATATTATCTACCTTTCAGCCGTTAGGGCGTTATAATGTGACGGTCAATCCCACTATTCGTTGGTAAAAGAGTAGCCCAAGAGTTGGCAGTGGGTGGTAATGACTAGCTGCCTTCCCTTTAGTAGTCTTACACTGCTAAATTAGGGACGGCTAGCGCAGATAGCCCTCGTGTAGCTTTGCGCGAAATTCAAAACAAACAAACAGTTGTTCCAGATAATGACATGCATAACACAGTTGCTCGTAGATTGTTCTAATCATTGATTATTTTATCTGGTTTTAGCTTAAGATTCTTAAAGGTATTTTTTGAATCATTTACCTGAATTTTAAGCAGGATTGGAAATACGTAAGAAAATGTCGAGGAAAAAGGACATCAAATGCAATTACTACGTGAATGCTACCCATTGTCGTGTGAAAATACACACACCAGAGTACAGTCACGCGTTGACAGTTTACACTGTAAGTCGTTGTCATCCAGCCAATTAGAAAGTACCATACCCTATAAAAGTACAGGCAGTCACACTATGTCCGTAGTAGTAGTAGTGTGAAGCCATCATGACTCCCAGGGCTGAAATACTGCATAAAAGCGTGAATAAATCAAAGTTTTGGCTGTTCAAGATACCCCCATGCGAAAATGTACCCCAAGACTCCATGTGTCAGTGAGAACTGTATGAAAGACTCTGAAGAGGCTACCTAAAACTGGTACTGTTGATAATAGAAGTGGTCGAGGTAGGAAACCGAACATTTTTGAAGCTGGTGTTATGTATCTCAAGGTACTTTCTTTACGGGATAGACGACAATCGGCTACAGATCTCGTCAACTATCTTGATATAAATAGAGATGTGATAAAATGAGGTCTCAGTGGACCTGTAGCTGCTCGAAAATCGCTACTGGAAAGAGGTAACTAAACCAAGAGGTTGAATTGGGATCACAAGCAGTGAAACTGAACAAAGCTGGAGACGTGTGCTCTTTAGAAGTGAATTCAAGTTGGAATTTTCAGCAATAATCGACGAGAATTTGTAAGACCGCGGAGAGAGAACAGTTTCATAGTCAAAGCACAATATCTACAGTAAAGCATGGTACAAATCTGAGACATCTCAGCCAACGATGTCGGTGATCAGCATGTGATTTCCACAGGAACACTACTCTTCGCATGCAGCAAATATGGGGAAAGGATATAACGGCAGTTTGGAATCGGTGATCAGCATGTGATTTCCACAGGAACACTACTTTTCGCATGCAGCAAATATGGGGAAAGGATATAACGGCAGTTTGGAATCGGTGGTCAGCATGTGATTTCCACAGGAACACTACTTTTCGCATGCAGCAAATATGGGGAAAGGATATAACGGCAGTTTGGAAGATGATCAGCATGTGATTTCCACAGGAACACTACTTTTCGCATG